TGAACACTTTATGCCATTGATATAAGCGAAGAAGAACTAGAGACATAATTAGAAACATTTCAAGCATGATTTGGCCTAGGAGAATAAGTTAGATAAATTTGGAACACATGCATAAAATAGTAAAAAACAACAATCTCGAAGACACGTTTCCACACTTTGACGTTTGTCATACTTTTTTCAAGCGTGACATTGGACAATCGTCACTCATGATAACTAGATGTAGTGGCGCATGTTCATTCTCCATACTAAACTTGATAAAAAATGAACTTAAAAATGACTTACGAAAGAATGAGTCATCATGAGCACTCAATATGATGTGCTGGAAATTGATTTTAGCAATGTGATAGAAGGCTTCACCTCTCAAAACGCGTAAAAAGTATTGCTATCTTAAACTTTTGATGAAAATAATGTAATTAAAGCTTTCATAATAATGTATCAATGTTTTACAATCTTAAAATAAAAATTATTCAAAAGTGAAATTTTTTCTTTGAAATTACTCATAAAGAGTCCCCTAATGAAGACAGGCCGAGGGCCCCTTAAAACGGCTCTGCTTTTTGGATTATACATTTTCATTTAATAAAGTTTAATATATTACATTAACGCTAGTTTCGTGTACAAAATGAATAAATAATGAAAATGTGACCGAGCTCAGACTTTATCGTTCTCATATATCTGCTATTTAACTAAAGTTTTTCTGGAGAGTATGCATAGCGCTATCGAAAGACGGAGCTCCAAAACTAGCACAGCAGTACGTTGTAGTTCTGGGAGGTAATGTCCCAATAGTTTCGTCAAGAGAGCTGTCCAANAGGGGTGTCATAAACCAGTGTTTTCATATGACCTCAGAAATAAAAATCAAGACATGATAGGTCGGGTGACTGAGGAGGCCAAAGCACTGGAAAGCTCGGTCGGAACTTTTGAACAACGCCATCTACCGCGTCAGGAAAGCATTTCTCACCCCGCATTGCTGTATGATTTCGAGTCGTCAGGATGCCCCCTACCCCTCTCAGAAGTTCTGAAACGCTTAACTGAGACACCCTGTATAACTAAAGTTTTTCTGGAGAGTATGCATAGCGCTATCGAAAGACGGAACTCCAAAACTAGTACAGCAGTACGTTGTAGTTCTGGGAGGTAATGTCCCAATAGTTTCGTCAAGAGAGCTGTCCAATGTTTAGAACAATTAATGTTAATTTTACTTTTTGTGTATTTCACCATATCTCGAAAACTTATAAAAAGAATTTGAAACATTTTTGCTCTCAGTTATAAAATTCGTTTATCCAAAAGAAAATTCTATGCTAAATATAATTTATAGTAAATGTTCATTATTTATTTAATAATAGTCGAAAAATTGAACTGCAAGGTAGAAATTTTTTTCGAAATTTAACTTTTCACTAACTGACCGATTTCACTGAAATTTTGCTATTTAAAATTGCATTCCTTAAAATGATGTAAAAAAATTTTCTACTATACAATTTAAAAATTTTAAGACTTATAATAAATAAAAAACAATGATCATTTACTAAAAGATATATTTAGAGTGGAATTAAATTTAAATAAACGAATTTTACAATTGTGAACAAAAATCTTCCAATTCGTTTAAAATGTAGTCAACAAAAAAAAATTAACATGAAAGGATCCAAATTTCGGAATTCTCTTCTGTCCAAACTATTGGAACCGTATTTCCAGAGTTCCGGCTGCCCCCAATAACTTGGGGGTCAGACATCTACATCACCAAAAAAAAAAACTGGTTTACTCAGAGAAAGTGCATTTTTGTGTCTGATTTCGTAAATTATTGTTACTGTAAGACTATGTCTTTTTTTGTGTTAAAAGGGCATTTATATTCCATTTCTTTACTATTTGATTAAAAGCGGCCAAATGCTGTCTTTGGAAATTCCTGACATCATTTCAAATCAACTTAAATAGAGTTGAAGCGTTTAATGCTCATTATATGAATTATTTGCTTATGCTTTACTGCTATTTTGTAACCTGAGTTAATAGTGCTTTGTTTTTTCAATCAAGTGGGAAACTGTATTCTTTCTTCTTAGAATAAATCAATTATATTTTAAATGGGAATAAAAAGTACATTGAATACTTAATTTCTGGATCATTTTTAATAATATTAATGTACTTAAGTGTGTACTCAATAAAAGTTAATTTAAAAAAAGGAGCTGTTTTTGTACATTGTTTTAAAAAATGCTGCAAATCAAGTTTCGTTTCTTTTTTTGCCTACTGTGGCAGGTAACACAACTTTTTTTTTAATTATAACTAATTTAAGACAGAAAGTAAGATTTGTATACTATTGAATTTGTAATTTTTGTTGGGAAGAATATAATTACATGTAGAGAATTGGCATTTTATGTTTAAATTTCATATTGGTTCAAAATCAAAGTCACTAATCCTAATCAATTTCAAGCATTGATTCGAAATAAGTACTGTACTAAAATTTGGATATATGTCCAATTTTATTGTGTTTTTAATCGATTTTATTAACACACTGCGTTTTTATTTGAATTTATTAACACAGAAACTGTTTGTGTAGAACAGTTTCAGTGTTAATAAATTAATACAATTAATTCAAATATGGTGTTTTATGTTTTTTAAAGTGTTGACCACGCTGTAATTGGTCTTGAACCTGGAAGGTTCTGGGTTCGAATCCCGCTTAGTGCATAGGTGTAATCTGTCCTTTTAAGGGTGACGTTGATCCACCTTAATGGGACCCACAAAACAGAAATAAACAATAGTGCCATATGTTGCCAAAATTGGTGGGCATTGAAATAATATTTCTGAAAAATATTAATCTTTGAAATGTCTTGCAGGTCATTCAAAGTCATCTTAAAGACTAACATTGAGTCAGCTACTTTGAAAAAAAAAAAATCTTTGTGTTTCAAATTTTATAAATTAGAATGTCTTTAAAGATTAATATTGTATTTTAAGTTTATACGATTGTATAATATTTTTATGCTCAATTGACTGAATTAAATGATAAAATTTATATTATGCCTTTTGAGCTAACAATATGTCTTTCCAAATCTGTTGTTTCTTTCTTTTAGTATCTTGCTTTGTTTTATGTGCCACGTTGATGCCCTCTTAAATATATATAACGTCGTTGCCGAGAGGAAGGATAAAAACAGGTCTTAGGCAGGGAAAGAGGGCACAATATTTAATTTTTAGAGAGAGAACAATCATCAAAGTGGCACAAAATCGTTGTGTTCTTCAATAAAAGTTAGTTTCTGAAAACAGTGGCTTTTCTTCAAGTCTAGTGCTAGCTTCTATTGTTCAATACTTATCAGTATTTCAATCAAATGACTTCTACTAACGTACTATTGGACATATTTTCTAAATTTAAAAAGTTTTTAATTAAATACAGTAGCATTAAATTCTGAGTTGAAATTTATTTAAATTGAAACAGTTGCAGTGAAATAGTAGTAAGCTTGTATATAAAGTGAATTAAGTACCTTGGATACATATTCTATTAAATAGCAGCTTTCCCTTATCATGTATCTTCAAGAAATGATAAATATATGAGATACATTTTCTTTTGATAATTTTTATTTTTACCTTTATATTTATTTTTTAGTGGTAAGTAAGAGTACAGCATATGCAAAAAGTATAAAAATAGGACGAAAAAAAACTTATAAAATTGGATCAGACAATTTAAAGCATGTATATTTTTTTCATTAGATCTTTCTATTTAATCTATAGGTGTAACGAGTTGCTTTGCACTAATTGGTATAAAATAATTGCTATATGTTCTTTATGTCCATTATCTGATATAGCTATAGTTTAAAATTGCTCTATGCTATCCCTTCGTTTCATTTGAAATTGCATCCTCCTTTAAAATGATTTAAAAATTCTATATCTTACATTAAATATAAGTAATCATTATTAAATAAAAAGTAATAAATAATTAATAAAATGTCAATTTTGAAATGGAATCTATTATTATTAAAATTTTTACTAAGTTAATTAAATTAAATTTATTTATTTCAGTTAATGGAATTAGGTACTCTTTTTTTTTAGAAAGTTAGAGAGTTATATGGCATAAAATTCTCAAAAAGGGAAATAAACTTTTAAGTGTACAAACTTTTGGCCTCTTTCCTGTTTGAATCTATTTGGGCCTAATTTTCCAGATTGTGACCAGCTCTATGTTAAATAAATAATTGACATTAGATGTCAGAAGGGTACCTATTCAGAGAAAGTATATTTTTGTATCGCTTCATATCTTTATTAATAGTTAAGAATATTTGAGATCAACTTTTCAAGCAATTATGATTGGCCACCTAGTACATGAAATCCGATTATTAGATCAAAAGTTATTGTTTTTTCTTTTCGTGTAATAACACCGATGTGCTTCTTCGTAGCAACACTGATGTGCAATCTTCGTAATAATGGGCAATATTTGAGTAACAGCACCGATGTGCAACAATAAAGAGTTGCGGAAGTCAAACTTTTATTTTTCAGTGAGCTTGAAAATCGAATCATGTGATCTTTGAAGAAGTCCAAAGTGGTATACTTTTTCCAAAAAACGCTTGAGGTTTTGCTTGTGAGTGAGCTATGACCACAAGTTGTAGCTGAAGTCATTCATAATTTGTCGCATTGCATTAAAATACCCTTATTTGCATAGAGTAGTAAAATTACAATTAATATCATCATATTTCAGTTATTACTGTTTTGTTTGAAAAAATACATATTTTTTGGTAGTTTTATACCAGACTTTCTGGTAAAATATATTTTGATATAATATGTTGATAAAATATATTTAAAATATATTTATATTCGGTATAAAACACATTTAAATTTTATCAAAAATTAAAAAAATGAAGATAACATTTTGAAAAATTAATTCAAACTTAATATTTGAGAGATTTGTTTGTTTAATATGATAGAAAAGAAAATGTCAACTATGGTATGTCTATTTTGTAAAAGAGTAAATCAGTTAATGAATAAGTAGAGCAAATGAGTTCCTTTAAAAATTTAAGAAGAATGAAGAAAGAAACAGTATACATATTTTGTATACAATTTTATTTTAGAAAATACAAACTTCACTTTACAGTAACAAAATTTACTTTATAATCAATAATATCTCAATCAAATACATCAACAAATCTCTATAAATATATAGACTAGATATTGTGTAAAACAAAATTAACATTCAAAATAAATAATTTTTTTTCTTCTTATTGTCCTCACCCGTCATCTTTTTTGTTACCTCCATCAATCAGCTAAAAATACAATCAACAGAAAAATTGATGTCAATTATATGATTGATATCATCTACTTTGAAAAACACACAAATCACTTAAATTTACTTAACATTTTAGACTTGCCAAAGTTGTGGAAAAAAGCATGGTAACGTAACTTTAAAAACAGGTTTTCAAACTTAAACATTGAATTAAAAAATTAAAATTTAAAGAAATTATACTAAATAAAATAAGAATTAAATGAAATTTTTTCATAAACAAATTCAGCAATTACACTTTGCATTATAATATTCTACTGTTAGCTTTTTATTTCATAACAGTCGTTGAACAGCCGACCCAATTTTGAGTTTACGACTGCTAATATTAAATGCTGTAGCCTTGTAAGTTTGAACTAACCCAGAAGACAAGGAAACTCCTGGATCAGTACCCCCAGAGGTATGATTTGTTATGGGAACATGAAGGACTTTGTGACTCGACAGATTTAATGTGCATCAGTCACCATTTACTACACGAGGAGCCTTCGGCCGGCTGGGATCGAACCCACGAACTCTTGGATATGGGACCAGTGCCCTACCAACCAAGCTATCCCGGCCCTTCTATTGTTAGTTTCTTTATAACCTTCGTTGAACAGCCTACCCAATTTTATGGGTTTACGATTACTAATGCTCAACTCCCTAACCTTGTAATTTTGAACCCAATCCAGAAGACAAGGGAACTCCTGGATTGAGTATTGGGAGAAATTTGCCTTCGTGGAGAACTTTTTGATGTAGCTAACACGAATTAGCGTTACATGGAGAGGAGGACCATGAGAATCTCCCACGGTTAGCCTGACGGCAAGGGGACTCTAACCCAAGATCCATTTGCACCTGAGGATATTTCACGTCAGCACTGTGGTCGGCATGCGGAATTCGTATCGACTGAGATTCGAACCCGGTTTGCCTCATTGGAAGGCAAGGGCTCTATCCCCTGAGCCATTGCGGCTCATGTGAAGTCTTTGAAAATTATTTTGCATTTTCTTAATGTATATAGTGCTTAAAAAGTACTTAAAAGGTACTTATTTATTGGGGAAAGATTTAGCTTTGCACACTGTATTTGGTATAACGAAACCTATCAAAATTCTTTTTTTTTTTTTAAACTGTTCTTTAAAAAGGTATTTGTTTATTCATTTTTTTAGAATTGAAAATATCATTGCTGAATACAAAATTGCGGAAGCTATGAGAATGTTTCAAAATTCTGTACCATCTGAGTTTGGAATTACTACTCAAAGTAACACTGTTCTTGGAATTAGTGAGCAATGTATATCTATTTTAAAATCTTTACCTGAAACTGAGTCTTTGGTGGAGAAATTAAAAATTTTGGGTTAGTTAAATGTATTTTTTTTATGCTATCTAAGTGGTACATTTTTTTTTTTTATCTTTATATACTTTTCTGCATATACAGTGTGATGCAAAAATATGCTCAACTCCCTAACCTTGTCATTTTGAACCCAATCCAGAAGAGAAAGGAACTCCTGGATCAAGTATTGGGAGAAATTTGCCTTCGTGGAGGACTTTTTGTGGAGCTACCCTGCATTAGCATTACATGGACCACGAGAACCTCCCACGGTTAGCCTGATGGCAAGGGGACTCTAACCCATGATCCGCCTACCACTGAGGATATTTCACCTCAACACTGTGGTCAGTGCAAGTTGGATGTGAAATTCGCATCGACCAGCCATCGCCGGGATCGCACCCCTGTTCACCTCATTGGAAGGCGACCGCTCTATCCCCTGAGTCATCGCGGCTCTCTACTGCTAGTTTCAAAATATCATTTAACTCTTAATTGGAATAATTTATTCTTGCTAAGAGATAATTGATATTCTCTTGAAAATTGCAATTTAGATTAATTTTGAACGCTTTAAAAAAATGCTCTTGAATGCTTTTAAAAAAAATCCATGATTATTGTACAGAGGATGATTGGAAGTGAGTTCTCTTCAGTGATGAGTCGTGATTCAGTCTGTGACTCAAGGCATGTTCTGATCTGCAGAGAGCCCGTGAGTTGATATCGGCCTTGTAACATTGTTAAAAAGGGCCGCTGTTGTTAAAGTGGTCTGATGATTTGGGCAAGCGGGTATATCAACATTCTTCAACAGAGGTGAGTATTCTTGACAGGCAAGGGATGAGATCTTTCTGCAGAGTATATGGACCAAATTTCATCCTTATTAAGGGTGCATAGCCAAATTTTTCAACAGAAAATAAGCACCCTTTAAGCACTCAAAAAAAATTTTAAGCACTATACACATTAACAAAATGCAAAATAGTTTTCAAAGACTTCACATGATCATGATTAAATAACTAGTTCCTGACAAAGAACTCTTTTCTTGATCACATTAGCCAAGATAGAGAGATTTTTCGGATCGATATCAGAGGGTGGAAAATAAAGCCTGAAATTGAGAATATCTTGCAAAATAAAGCAGAGGTGCACATGAGAGTGCTAGAATCTCATCAAACTCAGCTCAGATGCACATATGGACTCGCAAGTATTTCATCAAACATGTAAAATGAATGGCGCTTTCATATGCTATGGATAAATGGTACGCCGGATTGGATTGTGGTCAAATTAATTGTAAAAACGTTGAATAGAACAATGCCAAAAGCACGCTTTTGCATAATATGTGGCGAAAATCGACAAGGTAAAAAAAATTTCATTTCTGGAAAGGGAAAATCAAGCACTTTTTAAAACCATCCAATGAAAAAAAGCACCTGCCAAGGGCTTTTAAAAAACGAAAATCAAAAATAAGCATCTTTAAGCACTTTTTAAAAATGCTACGAACCATGTTATTAATAATGCCTGCCCACACAGGGCTCAGGTGATGGGCAAATACCTCAATTCAATGATTGCGATATACCCCGAATTTAATCCCATCAAACACGTATGTTAAGAAATATCAACCCTTTATAAAACACTGCTATTTAAATATTTTCATAAACCCCTTTATGAAAGTTTATAGGACTACCGGTTGGGAACCGACAGTTCAATAAAATTATAAATAGTAATATTCATAAACCCCTTTCATAACCCCCTTTATGAAAGTTTATAGGACTACCGGTTGGGAACCGATAGTTCAATAAAATTATAAATAGTAATATTCATAAACCCCTTTATGAAAGTTTATAGGACTACCGGTTGGGAACCGATAGTTCAATAAAATTATAAACAGTAAGATTTTGTTGTCATAAGCCACTTCAGCAAGGGGTGGGACTGCTCTTTTTTTCCAGTTTCACCTTCTATAGCCGAGAATTTGACTTCTGTTGCACCCATACGTGATACCCGTTTATGGGTTGGACCCATTTATACATCCATTCATTTAATCACAGATCGTAATTTTGACCATAACGGGAGAACAATCAATCCTTAATTCAGTACCCCCAGAGGTTTCATTTGTTATGGGAACATGGAGGACTTTGTGACCTGACAGGTCTAATGCGCACCTGTCACCATTTACTACAGGCGAAGCCTTCAGCCGGCTGGATTCGAACTCCCGCTCTCACGAACAAGAGTGCAGCGCTCTGTCGACCGGCAGGCTTGGCCCCATTTGTAATATAATTAAAAATAATAAAATAAAGTATTCCTGCAACAGTTCGTTGTAAGCCTGAGGGCTCATGAAGATATGAGCTCTACAATTTCGTGACCAAATGTCTGATTGTGCAAATACACACAATTGCGCACAGGCCACTTCTACTTTCCAGACAAGCTGGCATGTATGGAAGAAGCTGCAAAGGCTTCAAGTCGCACTGAGGATTGTAATCCACCTCTTCAGAATGACAGGTCTGGTAAAAATTATGAAATAAATCGATATATTTAACGTAGATTTGCAGCAAATCAAAAATATGTAATGTACAGATGCATATCTGCAGGGGTGATTGTGAGCCCAACTAAAAAATCCCGAAAATTTCTTCAGCCAAATCATTAATGACGCACTTCAAAAAATTAATGTTTTTATAAATTTAAATCATTGATTCACAACAAGAAATTCCAAATAAATTACGTGCAGCATAATTTATATTAATAATTATGTATAAGTTTACTTTTATGTCTAATCACATTTATTATTCCACTAGAAAAAAATATTTACAAATGAAAGAGATGCTAAGTATAAATTCTAGTTCTAAAGTTTTTAAATAAAATATACAAGAATTTTTATACATAAATGTGATCCATGATTTCTTGAAACTTCCGCACCTTGGATTTCCGGATCGCGGTTAGCGAAAAATCCGGAATTTTCCGGTGCACAATCATCTCTGTATATGTAAAAATAATAAAAGAAATCTGTTTGCTTATTCTCCAACTTAAATTTGACTTTGATAGGACCAATAGTATATTAGGCTAAAATATTAAATAATAATATAATAGTATATTAAACTAAAACTAAACTCAGTGGCGCAACAGCCCATGGAGGGCCAAGGCCTACTGTGCCCATCTCAGTTTTCTTGACCTTGGGCTCTGGGGTGCAGGAGCAGATGTTCCGATCAGGTGGTCAAAGAAATGCGGAACCCCCAGTGTTTAGTTCCCAAGCATGCTTGGTACTCATTTATCTACCCACCGAAGGGATGAAAGGCTGAGTCAACCTTGCCCGGCCCGAGGATCGAGCCAAGGACCTGTGGCACGACAGCGCAAACCGCNCATTAAATTCAAAATAAATTATATACAGCATAATTTAAATGAATAATTATGCATAAGTTTACTTTTATCTCTAATCACATTTATTATTCTACTAGAAAAAAATATTTACAAATGAAAGAGATGCTAAGTATAAATTCTAGTTCTAAAGTTTTTAAATAAAATATACAATAATTTTTATACATAAATGTGATCCATGATTTCGTGAAACTTCTGCACCTTGGATTTTCGGATCGCGGTTAGCGAAAAATCCGGAATTTTCCGGTGCACAATCATCTCTGTATATGTAAAAATAATAAAAGAAATCCGTTTGCTTATTCTCCAAATTAAATTTGACTTTGATAGGACTAATAATATATTAGGCTAAAATATTAAATAATAATATAATAGTATATTAAACTAAAACTAAATTAAACTCAGCAGCGCAACAGCCCATAGAGGGCCAAGGCCTACTGTGCCCATCTCAGTTTTCTTGGCCTTGGGCTCTGGGGTGCAGGAGCAGATGTTCCGGTCAAGTGGTCAGCGGAACGCGAAATCCCCAGTGTTTAGTTCCCAAGCATGCTTGGTACTCATTTATCGACCCACCGAAGGGATGTAAGGCTGAGTCAACCTTGCCCGGCCCGAGGATCAAACCAGGGACCTGTGGCACGACAGCGCAAAGCGCTACCGCTCACCCACCGGGCGTCATAATAGTATATTAGACATCACTATATTAGGCTAAAATTAAAAGTATGTTACAAGGAAAAAAAATTAAAATACAGAAAATAAATTACTTTTTTCATTTCAATATACTTGAATGCAGTCAGAAATGATGATAACGCATATCCTTCTTCTCCAAACATAAATCTAAAAATTAGATAACAGATATACAAAATTGATAACAGATTAAGTTAGACAGATAAATTAGATAGCAGATAAATTAGATAACAGATATACTGAACAATAATTTATGAATTATTAAAAAATTTTTATGCAAATATAATTAAAAAAAAGAATTAGAATTTAGGACATTTATAAACATGATAAAATATGAAACATACTGTCTTTAGCCATTGTAAGCAACGAATAAGTCTAACAGATATGAAATTTAACATTAATGTAGATGGTAGAACACATTCTGCATCTTTCTTTTTTTTTTCTCTCTCTAATTTTAGATACTTACTTTTGATTTTTATTTCGGAAGTGATTATTCTTGTAAATTGATCTTAAAATATTAAATATGATCATGTACTAAATTACCACTCGATCTACTATGAGAACTACTTTAACTTTCCATTTTATTTAATTTTAAAAATCTAAAATTTTGTTGCTTTATTTTCTAGACTTGCAAATTCAATTTCTTCCCTATTTATTCATTTGATATTTTCTGAATCTTACTTTTAACCTTATTTAATATTATTTTATCTTAACGATCCTTTTTTTAATTTTTAATTACTGCCTATTTCATAGTAAGTAAACTTACATCATTTTGACTATAAGTTTTCGAATGGTGAATGAAATAGTAAAACTTGAAACAGTTCTTTTTAGCTGGCAGGCTAAAAAAAATTTTGGTGCAGTTTTATGTCAGCTGACACTAGCTTTAACATTTTTTTCTTTATAATGTTTATGTTTTATTTTCGTTTTGGTTTTTAAATTGTAAAAAAAATATGCATTTTTGAAGGATTTCCAATTAAATTTCTTGTAGTTTAATATATTTAATTAGTTAAAATAAAAAATTTATTTACCGGAAAGGGAAAGTGAAACAAAATTTATAAATTTACTCGCAATAATATTTTTACCAAACTTGCCACAACAATTTCAGAAAAGAGCTGAACTTTTCATTGTAATTTAAAACCTTAGAAACAAGTTTTTCAGAACAAAAATTAAACATTTTTAATTAAGCTAAAATAAAATTTATTATCTAAAGGAACTATTAAGCTAAACAACATTTTTAACAAATATCTAAGTTAATGTAATCAATAATATTAATTAAATTACTCTTCTGTTAGCTGTTTCAAAAATTCCTTACATATTGAACTTTCGAATTTAATAAAATATCAATATTCTGTTTAAAATTCTAATTTGGCTTAGTATAATATATTTTAATCAGAACTTAAAAAGTTGGACTCTGAAAGAAAGGTCAAAAAGAAAAACGGTAGGATCAAGATCTAAAAAAGAACTAAGAACTAGATGAACTAGGCAACTAGATGAAAGGAACTAATTAAAGCAGACCTGAAATCAATCAAAATTACCAACTACAAGAAAAAGGCAACTAACAGAAAAGAATGGTTCAAAATCTTAAAAGTGACCAGGGCTCTGCAAATCCTGTAGCATTAGGATGATAATAACTTAAATTTAATTTTAGCTCTTCGCAAATTTAAAAATGCAGTGTAACTTTTTTCTTAAATATTAATTTTTGTACAACTCCATACAGTTCCCCACTATAAAAATTTTGTGATCATTGAACTCTTAATCGGACTGAAATCTTTTTGTATAAATTCTGCAAAGAGATCAAATTTTTAGAGAGATCAATCTTGGTCGTTTAAGATTTGATTTAATTTTCACAATAGAAAATAGGCATATGATCCACCATTCCTTCTAATAAAATGTAATAATAGGAATATTTAATTAAATAAGTATTTTTTCAAGCATACAACCTTTTACAATCTTTTTCAAGCATCCTAAAAATTTTTAAGCAACAAATCAGATAGATGATGATATACTTTCAATCAATTTTTTAGAATTTGCAGATGGCCCCTTAATTCAGCAAGTTTTGGCAAATTTAAAATTGTTAATTAGGTCTAAGGATAATTAAGTTTAAAATCATTAATTTAGTCTAAGTTCAGTTCTAATAGAATTTGGGCATAAAAAAGAGAAGATACATGGAAAAGTGGCACGCCTGTTTTTATTAATTAAATCGAAATTGAAATTCTATACATTGTGATTCTCAATATCTACAATGGAAATTACACACACAATTTTAACCTCTTTGATTTACACTTAAAATACATAATGCAATTCATTCAACGAAGTTTTGCTGAAGGATCAACAAAAAGGGGTGAATAACATAAAATAACAACCAATCAACGTAAAGGGGGTCTAAAAAAAATTAGTTCTTAATATCTAAATTTTCAAAATTTTTAGATAAGAGGTTTGTGAAATATTTGTTTAATATTTTTTATTTTTTTGCAATGTTAGAATTTAAATGAAATAAGTTTTCATTCTATTTAAAGAAATTATATTTTTTTGTTCTTTTTAAAATACAGTGAAACCGCCAGGAAAGACCGCCTCTATTTATGACCACTTTTTTAAGGCACGGAATTTTTTTCCATAAACTTAGTGTTGAAAAAAACCTTTAGGTGAGACTATTAAAACCCCTCCATCTGCACCAAATGTAGGAAAGGTCGAATAAGAAAGCAGGAAAAAATATTGAAACAAAAAAAATAAGTAGATTAAAAGGCATTCAAAATATTTTTGCGTGGCTCTTATTTAGAGAGCTATTTTTGATGATACAACCTCATTTTGCAGTTATAGGTAACTAAAGACGATGCTATCAATGATTTACTTTTAGAGTTTGAAATTATATTAGAAAAAAAAAGTTTTTTTTAGAAAAAACAAGTATCTCAAACAAACAAACCTCATCTCATCTTTTAAAGCTAAAGAATATTTATGATATGAAATTATATTTAAACTTAAACAAAAAACATAATTGTTTATTTGCTTAAAATAGCTTTATCATTCATAATAGGTAAAGTTGTTTTTACACATAATTGTATCAGTTGGGATCATTTTTATAGACGCTACATTTTATTCATTGATCCGTCTTTTCATGAGGCCAACAAAAGTGGCATTTCCACACCAAGAAAATGACACTGACTAAAATTAAAATTGTTTGCAAAAAATCATGTACAGGGTATCTGCACTACATTTGGCATTTTCAAATCCATATCTTTACATGACTAATTCCAAAATTTTTTAATGACTTAACGAAGTTACTATTTACTCTAACAAAAACACAACAATAAATTTAAAAAAGCATTATACAGTGAAACCTGCCAAGTTGACCACCCTTGCAAGTTGGGCACCTGCATAAGTTGACCTCAATTATCAAGAACGGAATTTTTCCTATATAATATAAAGAATCAAAACCTTTGTAACTTGACCGCCTGTCTATCTTGTATGTTGACCACTGAAATAAGTCAATTTTGTCTAGGAGTATTATGGAATTCTATTCTAAAACCCTCATAAGTTGACCAGAAAAAAAAAAAAAATTTCAGAAAATTTTCTGTCATTTTAGCAATGTGTGTTAAAATTTAACTTGTTTGGTGAAATAGTGTAAAAAGCTAATCTAAACCCTTTTGTGAGTTGACCATCAGGGGAAACTGTAAGGGGTCAGCTTTTGACCATTTCTTTCAT